TATTAAACTCAGGGAACTGCAATGGGTACTTCTCTTTCTCGATTGCTATATAGTCATCCCTAATTCTTATTTTATCTTCCAAACGATCATTTTGCACTCGACGATGTATCATCTCTCCGTCCTTGTCAGCAAGCCTTTTTTCAGTCACTTTGATAGTCTTCTTAGTCTTTTTTATCCATTCTTAATGCTCTTTTATTTTATTTTTATTAAGGTCTATCCATTCTTGAGCTGGTTTGCATTCCGATGCAATAACTTTACGACGTTGACTGTGAAGTCGGGATGACTCTTTATCCTATTTTTGTTGTTCTTCAGCCGTTTTCAATTCTTGAAAATTTTCATCCGACATATATGGGCCTGCTGAAGTGGGTGTAAAAAAGGGGTCGACTGGATCACAGTAGTAACAATCTACTTTGTTGAATGAGCAAATTTCAAACTTCGAGGATGAACTCATAATAAAGTTGAGATTATATATGGTATTTTTAATAAGAAAACGATCATATATGTCATATTTATACATCCTAGTAATATGCAAATCATAGTCCAAAGGCAACCATTTCATAGTCAGAGTTGGAATTCATAGTCAAACTTGGAAATGACTACACATAAATTACAAGTCACTGTAGTAACCTGCAAATCGTAGTTAAACTTCGAAATGACAACACATAAATGACTATTTGACATGATAAGTCACTGTAGTACACAGAGATTCCACTACACTTGTCAAGTCCTTGTTAACTCTTTTTTTTATTATTATTATAAATAGATGTTTAATGTATATGAAATGAACACCTATATCATCTATACGAAACGAACACCCATATTTAGAAATGTCGTCGAATGTAGCAACTTCTTTGAATGCAGTACCTGGTTCCAATTCTCCACGACCATGGACGACAAATGAGGTGTTGGTTGTAACACGATGTTGGCTTAGTGTTAAGGACGGTGTAACGCCACTAGCTCCCCCACATTACCTGGTAGGTGATGAATGGACCCGCATAACAACTTTGTTCAACCATGAGATGAGAGAACGACAACACCGGATACAATCAGATATTTTCAGTAAATGGATGGATGTAAAGGGAAAAGTCACATGGTTCAATCGAGCGTGTAGTTATACGAAAATTACGAAAACTAGTTACGCAGACGACATAGAGCTTTTTGAAATTGTTAAAGATTTTTACATTTTGGAGTGTGAAGGCAAAGACTTCGAATATGAGGACGTTTGGAAGCTTGTTAAAAATAATCAGTATTTCATGTAGACGACTCTATTACTATGCAAATTTCATATTTGTAATGTTTTATGTGTAATGCTTTATGGAATTGTTATTTGTAATGTATTGTAATGTATCGTTAAAAAAAACCCAATGAGTTTTGATAAATAACATTAAACAGAGGAGGTACATCTAATATAGACGAAATACATGGTATGTCTTGGTCTTCGTCCCTCCTAAAACAAATTAACATATTTATAATGTATGTAAAAGTCCAAACATAAAATTTAAATAAATAAAATAAAATATAAAAACCTTCATCATCTCAAAAATCTTGTTCACATCAACCCATTTCAATTTTATGGCTGCACTCCATCGCTTCATCCGAGGTGTTTCTTTGTTTTTTTCATAACGCAAAACCACCACCTTGAACAAATGGAAGCATCTCATATAGCCATATCTATAATTTTAGCAATTATGTTAACAACAATTATAACAACTAAAATACTTGCTATATCCTAAAAAATAATTGTATATTTGTATGCCTTGAATGGCGCCGTAAATCCTGACACGGAGTATTTGAAAGTTTGATGAGGCTCAGGTAGTGATTAATATTTATCGATCTTGTTCCATGTATCCTGAAGGTCATCGTAGGTGAAGTCCCACAAATAGCTACCCAAACAAAACTACAATAAAATATTGTTAATTATAATAAAAATTATCATAAAAAATATAAAACTTTCAAAGTTAACAAATAATACATGTTCCACCCATCCAAGTTCTCAGCAAAAAAGAAACCAGTTTTGTGGCACCCGATCATTTGCTTCTTTTCCTAAAAAGCCTTCACACAAAACGTATATCAGACACGCTCTAACTGCATCATCGTCGGTAGCTGCTAAGAATGACTGATTTAAAATATAACTTTTAAAATCACAGATTTTCACCGAACTATTTGTGTGGTTCAGAAAGAAACGTTTCCGTAATAAACATCTTTTTTTACTACTAATTTTTTTCTGACACTTTTCTTTCCAATCATTTTTGGATAAACTCCAAAATTAAACCCGATTATCAAACAAATCTATTCTGGGCCATAAACTATTTTAGTATCCCCCAATTTAAAATACAATCGTTTTATGCCATCTAGGGATACTACTGCGTCCGGCCGTAACTGATGAAGAAACATCTTATAAAACAGTAACCCGTCCCCTTGTAATTGAGCGACGTCCAACAATTAACCAAACACAGTGTTTCTAAAAATTTTCCATCGCACACCATGCAATACTTCAAATATTTGTCATATGTTACATCCCGATCCTTTTAGGTTAACAACAACTTTAACATTTACATTTCTATAATCATGCTGCAATACAACAACATGTTAGAAAACATATTATTGTAATAAAAACTGAACACTTATGAACTATTATATTTAAAAACATTCGACAATTTAAATCACAAAATAAACTAAATATCTATTTACAACAAGGATAAATAATCCAATTATATATAAAATATATTTCTATTTATTAACATTTTTTGATAAACTATATGTACAACATCAAAATGCAAAGGTACAACATCAACAAGCAACAATGATCATTATTATATCAAAAAATCATATTATTAAACATATTAACAAAAAGGTACAACCACACAATGCACAACTTACGCATTATACACTTGTACAATCATACATATACTTCTCAAATATACCATCCAAACCTCATGGCTACTAATAAAATCTACTAATTATCAAATACAACTATCAAAACATAATAAAATGAAAAAGTACAACATTATCAAGCAACAATGATCATTATTATATCAAAAAATCATATTATTAAACATATTAACAAAAATGTACAACCACACAATGCACAATTTATGCATTATACACTTGTACAATCATACATATACTTATCAAATAACATCAAAACTTCAAGGCTACTAATAAAATCTACTAACTATCAAATATAACTATCAAAACACAATAAACATTTGTTTTTTTTTTTCAAATTTTTCCGAATAAATAGTAAATAAACATGGACTAATGTTGATAAATGATGATTAAACCACAAAAGGAGTAAAGATCTTACCATATTATCAGGATTGTTCATGAAATCGTCCATAATCGCAGATGGGCTAAAAAAATCGCTTCCCAGAGAGAGTTTTCCAAGAAAAAAGAGTGAAAAATGAAGCAAATTTTTTTTCGTTTTTATACTAGCCAAAGCTAGGTTCGCAGATGGCTTCATATGTTCGCAGATCGACTAGTCCATCTGCGAACGTACAAGTTGCTAAAGCACGTCTGTGCTTTAGCGACTTGTACGTTCACAGATGGGTTGCCAAAATCGCAGATGAGCCTAATACATCTGCGATTTTGGTGGCTAAAAATGTAATTTGGGTTTTTTTGGCTATTTTCCACAAAGTAATTAACATTTTTGGCTAAATTTGCAAGTTTCTCTTTTTTTTATGATTAATATTTAAGTTGGTTTTGTCATACTTATGGCTTTTATGTGCTTAAAGTAAGAAATAGTTGTGACGGGTATCAAACTCGAGATCAAAGTTGACAAGGTTGGAATCCTACATAAGATCGTTTTTGGGTTTGCAAGATCGTAATCGGGATCCTAAGATCCCACAAAATAAAACATAAATTTAACTTATAATAAAAAAATATGAAAAATATCTCAAACATTCAGCTTTTCTTTTCAAAAATTAGAAAAACTTCAAAACATTACTCATAACTCACAACTCAAAATGATAAACGGTAAACTGATAAAGGGTAAAAAAATATAATGTGGTAAATTCATATTTTTCTTTTTAAAAACAAAAATAAAAAATAAAAGATCAAGGAAAGGTAGGATAGAAAAAATTCATTTTTTTCTTTTTAAAAATAAAAATAAAAAAAATATAATGAGGTAAATTCATTTTTTTGTTTTAAATTCCTTTTTAAAAAACAACAACAACAATAATAATAATAATAATAATAATAATAATAAAATAATAATAATAATAATTTTATTATTATTATTATTGTTACTATTCTCATCATATATATATATATATATATATATATATATATATATATATATATATATATATATATATATATATTATATTTATCCATATAATTACATTTTTACTAATATAAAACTTGTATATCTTTATATACATTTCAATTTGTATGTAAATACATATATAAAAGTTATCACTTCTTAGTTGTGTTTAAATATGTTAAATATTTTTAGATACATATAAAAAAATAGTTTTATATATTTGTACATACTTAATCATACAAATTTTATATAGGTATACGAACATATTGATACACTACAAGAAAAAGACCCTTTTACGACGCGCAAACCACGACACTCGTTGATTTATGTTACGCAAAAGAGAGTGACATTAAAAAAGTGTCATCTCTTAAAAAAATTTAAGGATAGAGGTCACGCATTATTGCGTGCCCTTAATTACCGTCTCATGTAAAAAAATTAAAAAGACAGAGGGCACTTTATCTAAAATGTGCGTCCTCTGTGAATGTCGTTTTATATTTTTTTAAGGAACGCGCGTCTCTCTTCTTAGAAGGAAAATGAAATCCCCAAAAATTTTAAACCTCGCGTTCTTCTCCTACATTCGTATCGATCTGTTCTCTAACATCTCCTCTCCTTCATCTGCACCCCTCACCCACACCGACTCTTCAGGCCTCACACGGCGATGATGTTCAGGCCCTCTCGACCAACACTTCATCCACCATCGCCGTTCCATTTATATGAGCCCTAAGAATTAACGGAGATGGAGAAGACTATGGAACAATCAATGTACATCAAGTTTAAGGTTACAGGTCTAAGATTCCGTCCAATAATTGTACTCTCTCTCTCTCTCTCGCTCTCTCTCTCTCTCTCTCCCGCCCTCTCTCTCTCTCTCTCTCTCTCTGTTTTTCTTGCAATTGATTTTTGAAAAAAAAATTATTGATAATCACCGTCTTCATCTAAGTCAAGAAATTTATGGATGTTTGATTCACTAATCACTATCCTCAATCCAATCCCAGAAAGAGTTCAATTTGATCGTTTTTCTCATGTTCATGATGTTTTTCTTCTGAGAAATAAGTCAAAATATGGTTGATGTTTCATCCTCTACATGTCTCTATTACGTTTGAACCCTAATTTTAGACACCAGTGTCTCTTTTTTTTCTTGCGACTTCGTTCTCACTCCTTCTTGCCTAATCGATAAATTTCCACCATGAATATAAGCAACAAAGAAGCTGGTTATCAACCTCCAACCTGATGACTAGCAAATAAAATCTTTTTCCATTAATGGTTCCTGGTTGTGGTTTGTGTGCATCAGCATCAACATCAACATCAACAAAACGACCCAAGTACTAGTCAAAGAAGTCAAAGCCACATGTAAATGGAAAATCTCCTTCCACCAATGCTACTCAAATCACGAAAACAGAGAAATCTTATGATGTTCAACTTGAATTCAAACATAGGATCACTCAGGTAATTAATTGTAACCCCATATAAACCTCTGACTTCTTTTCTTACTGAGTTTCTCATGATTTGTGCCCACAAGTGCACGGTGTTGGAGGTTAAAGTGATAGAAGGTCTTGGAGCAACCATGGATGTGGTATTGGTTAATGGTGTTCTTCATGAAGGAGATGAGATTATTGTTTGTGGCTTTCAGGTTATTAAATATTTATATTTTTTTTTGATCCAATGAGCTTATTATAACTCACTGTTATTCCAGGTCAACTGTATTCTATGACGCCAGGTGGCATTGATATTGTTCAGCTCCTTAACAGAGACAATTGGTGATTCTTTTCGACCATATTTTGCTGATTTACAAGCACTTCTACTCAAGTGCCTACAAGATGAGACTAGTAATAATGTTAGAGTGGCTGCCCTCAAGTAATGTTCTATGTCATTATTTCTCTATTTAAATTTGATTTGTTAGAAACAGTCATAATGTTGGCATAATCTTGAACAAGGCTGTTGGATCTTTTATTGAATTCACTCCTGATGCATCTGAAGTGGTAAGTCTATTTGTTCCCTGGAGGGTAATATTGTAATTGTTCTACTTGTTCTACAGCTACATCCCTATCTTATACACACAAATTAAGTTTTGCGAATTTATCCCAAGCATATTAAATGTTTCAAGACAATGCCTTGCATCTGGTGATGAAGATGTTGCAATAATTGCTTATGAGATATTTGATGAACTTATTGAATCTCCAGCACCCCTTCTTGGTGACTCAGTCAAAGCCATAGTCAAATTCTCTATTGAAGTTTGCTCAAGTCCAAATTTGGACTCCAGCACACGACATCAGGTTAGCAGTGCAAAAGACGTAAATGCCCTCAAATCATTTCATAGCTTGTTGTTAACACAATTCATTTTTCAGGCTATTCAAATCATTTCATGGCTTGCAAAGTTCAAATCCAGTTCCCACAATTCATGTCACAGTTATGGGTGTTGTTTCAGAGGGGTGTTTGGAGTTAATGAAAGAGAAACTTGGACCAATTTTGCAAATTGTGTTAGGGGCTGTAAGAGACCCTGAACAGGTTGTAAGAGGAGCTTCCTCTTTTGCATTAGGTCAATTTGCAGAGTATTTGCAGCCTGAGATTATTTCACATTATGAAAGTGTTCTTCCTTGCATTCTAAATGGCTTAGAAGATTCTTCTGATGAAGTCAAGTTAAATAGATATTATTACAAACATATGGGAATTGGGATGGTTTTGGTTGTTAGTAAAGAACTATTGTAACTGGTGCTTTGTATATTTCCTGTATCAGAATGAGTTTCCAAAAAAAGTTTCGGTCCAGATGAATGATACCCATCCTACCCTCTGTATTCATGAGCTGATGAGATAATTGAGGGATTTGAAGGGCATTAACTAGAAAGGAGCTTGGGATATTACCGAAAGGTATTTCTTACTTGCAAAATCTTCTAGATGCATGTTTCAGGAAAAGGTTGCTTGCTTGGCTGATAATGATGCTAGGCTTGCTGTAGATCCAAACAATAATGATGGTAAAAGTGTATTTAAAGGCTTACAACCTTCCATTTTGTTATTTTCGATTCCTTAGGCAGGGGTATTTCTTAAAGTGTAATTTCTTGTTCGGGCTAAATGCAATAAATAACTACTTGCTTTCATTTCTTTGTGGTTTAATGCATTCTAGTTTCATTTTTTTTCTATTATAGTATTGTACTTTCAACTTTTTCTTATTATGACATTGCACTTTGAAACATTTATCCAATTATAGAATAGTACTTTTAGCTATTTTCTTATTAGGTCCTTATACTTTTAGATGTCTACCCAATTATAGCATTGTTTTTATGGTAAAAGATTTAGTGTTTTTATGGATTTCACCTTAAGAATATTTACCAATACTGTGTGAAAGTTACACACAGTTCTAAGAGTTTAAATTTTTTCATTTTTAAATTATTTATTTACATGGTGTATTCTTTTTAGACCATGAAACCATTGATCATAATGTTACATGTATGTTTTTAAAGTGCATTATTGCTCAATCTTCCATAGAGTTTTGAAGAAATTGGAATAGAAATTCCTTCAGTTACAAATTTGGTTGACAAAATGGACTGGAAATCGATTCCATCAAATTTCCCCAAAATCTGTATTCATAGGACTTTATCATTCCTAGGGAAGAATCGAAATTCGATAATTTATTTCTTCATTAAAAAGATTAATTATTGTTTTAGTAATTGTTTATTTGCCTTCATAAGTCCTTTTTAATGTCATATTACTTTATTTTAATGTTCAATATTTGTTTTAAAATAAAATTCTTTTTTCAGTAAATAGCAATTCTGTTATTTTATTAGAAAAAATCACTAAAGGGTGTTTTGGTCTTTTAACATAGTTTTCACTTTTCACTTCAATTCTTTTGATAGATTTGCAAAATAAACACAAAACAACAAATGAATGGAATCTAATCCTTTCCATTTCCTGTCAACCATGCACATGACAGATTCCAATTCCTTTGACAAATTCCATTCATTTTAAAAATATGTTGTGCACCACAAGTTCCCTTTACTTGCTATTCTTAATTCCAATTCCTTTGACAGATTCCATTCATTACTCTGCAACAAGAAAAGGTTTTAGAAACCAAATAAAGAACTTATGGTGGAAAAAAAGAAAAGAAGATTCCACTGAGAATCAAGGTGTATGTTTTTACCCTTAACACTATAAAAACACTTGATGATTTTTATGTTCTTATGTAGTTTTTCTGTTGATGTTTAAATATACACTTTTAGTTCCATTGAATCTCAAATAAGGGTGTTGTGTTGGGTATACTTTATCAACAGACTGGAGTGGCTAATTGTGGTTGATCATGCATATTCATACATATTGTAGCAACAAACATCAATTTTTATTTCTTATTAGGATATTATGTACATAATCACACGCCAAATTAAAATATTAAACAATTTATTATGCTTTTAGAGATTCAATTAGGGTAAGATAATATATTGTTTGTAGATTTAACTCAATTAGAAATATAACTGTATTTTAGATCTAACTAGAAGTTGCATATAAAGTTTAATAACTCAGTAAGTTTAATAACAAAATTTATATTTTTTACTTTTATAAAAACAAAATTTTACTAATATCTTGAGGTTTCATATAATCTTTTATTCTTTATTAGTTTGAAGCGAATGAATACTTGTTGCATCACATATATAGATTTTTAACAGTCTTTTTTTTTGTTTACACTATAGTCTTGCTGCGAATGAATACTTGAGAAAGATGCATTTTTAACAAAATTTGGCTATAAGAGTAAGCTGGTTTTCATCATATATCTGTGCACTTTTTTCATCATATGCAGGCTGTTATTACAGAGAAATATGGTGCACAGGGATGTAATGTTGGACAGTGACAGAAGCGATAGAAGTGGTGAAGATGGCAAAGGATGCTGAATGGGGGGTGGTGATATCACAGAGAAGTGGGGAAACAGATGATTCTTTCATTGCTGACCTGGCGGTTGGTCTTGCCTCTGGTCAAATCAAAGCAGCCTCTCCTTCTCGTGGAGAGCGCTTAGCCAAGTACAATCAGGTAAAAACCGAACAAAATAGAGAGCAATGTGCTTTCTTTGAAAAATATATACCATTTATAGCATATGTTATCCAAATAAAAAGGGTATGTAGAAGAATTTTTAAACTATAATGTCCTAATAAGAAAAGCAAATGGAAAGCAAAATTTTATTCTTTATTAAGTTTATTGCCCGTGTCCAAGAGTGATCAGATTTGAGTAACAAACTTAATTCCATTCCTGGTCATTGCATCTAGAAGACATATTTTCCTATTATAATCTTATTTGGGGTTTAATGATGTTCTATTAGTTTGTTTAATTTTTACTTTGTTTATTCCATTCTTGGTCTTTGCATATAGCAGACATACTGATGCTGATTATGTGACTAGATAATAGTTAGTATCTATGATGCATCTGTTGATTTTACTAATGTGGGAGATCTCCTCAATGTATAATCCATAACCACATTTTATTCTATGCCAGATAATAATAATAAAAAAACTTAGGTTTCGATTTTGAGTCAAACTAACTAATGTTTATTTTTGAATCTAATGAGTATTCTTATATTTTGTTTTAGAGTTTTGAAAGGTGAATTACGAAAGGATGGGTGATATCAATGAAATCAAAGCATCCTTCTACGGGCAACCAACTTTATCTTTCAAGTAGGAAGAAGATCCAGAATGGTATTCACGGGCAACCAACTTTATCTCAGAGCCTGTTATAGACTACACTGCAATTTATCTATTCAGGTTATTCTTTTAGAAATGAAATTGTCAAAGGAGAATTTAGTCATGGGTTTCTTTTAATGTTGTACATGTTTTGTTTTCTATAATAAATATTATGCAATATTAGCAATGTGTTACATTTACTTACTATTGGAATGATTATTTGTATTTGACATATTAGTGCAATGAATTATCTTTATTGTGTATGGTATTTTATTTTGTATTATGAGACTTTTAATGTGTTATTTAATTTTAAAAATAGTAAATCTATCAAAAATATATAATTTTAAAAACATTTGAAATTATGACACGCAAAAATGCGTGTCGTCTTCCTTTATGACAGGGGCTTCCTTGATACGCAATGCGTGTCATAAACACGCGCGTCGTAAGGTTACGACACGCAAATGCGTGTCGTCTTCCTTTATGACAGGGCCTTCCTTGATACGCATTGCGTGTCAAAAACTGCGCGTTGTAAATGTGTGTCATAAATGCGAGTCATAAATGTGCGTCGTAAATAGACAACACGCAAAAGCGTGTTATGACAGGGCCTTTCTTAACACGCATTTGCGCGTCGTCTGAGCGTTTTACGACACACATTGCACGTCGTAAAATGCTTTTTTTCTAGTAGTGATATATATTTAAATGTTTAAAAGCTTTTTGTTTATGAAAACACATATTTATATGGTAGTATATAAAATAATATTTATATGTTTAAAATATATATTTACATATATTTATATGAATACTATATATATATATATATATAATATATAATATATATATATATATATATATATATATATATATATACACACACTTGTGTGTATGTTTGTATATATGTAGATATTCTTATATATTAATTATACAATACAGGTTTAGAAGTATACATGTATGTTTAAATATGTTTAAATACATTTTTACAACTTTAAACACTTTGAAAAACTATTTATACAATTAAAATTGTATTTATATCTCTTTTAAATATGTTTAAAATATATTTATAACTATAAGATATGTATTTTTATCCATAGAAAAATATATTTTTATATTTAAAATTGAATTTATATTTTGAAAAACATATTTAAACTTTAAGAAACTTACATACAAATTTATAAAGCTATAAAACATTTTATTATGAATGATATGTTTGTAATGGTATATAATTGTATCACCCAATCTTTTAAAGCATACAATACTATAATTTTGAAAATAATTTTTGATTTAAATATCAAAATGTATTTAAAAGTGTTCCCTCGAAAAGCCAAACATTTTAGAATTGTTTTAGAACATACTTACACGGGTATTACACATGATATAAACAAACCATAGTAAGAAAAACATGTATACATAATAGAAACCAAGTACAGTTCCTATCTAACAAAAAGCTCACTTCTATCGTCTCTGTATTCTAGTATTTCACACTTGAACCTAAGATACGTGCCATATAAAGAAAAATATATTGTTGGGATATGGTTAAAAATATATTGTTGGGATATGGTTTTTCTTGTGAAGTGAGCTGAAGGTAACCAAAATTAGGACATCCAAAGTGATCAAGCCTTTCTGAAATGTCGAATATGTCAAAGCAGTTGGTAGAACTTTATTAAGTTCCTTCGTCATATTTTTTTATCATGTGATACGAAGTGCTTACGGAGTATGTTACACTAAGCTAGGTTGTTATTATTAACTGTAATTGTCCACATGTTAGTTTATGAATAATTGAATCTTCATCATTTGTGTCTATATATATGGTGAATGAGAATGAGAAGGTTATCTATTTTCATGCTATTAGCTTCACTATTATTGGAGCTATTGTTTGTAATATTTTCCTACATCTAACCCACGAGGATAATGTGATTTTCATCTATATGTTCATACTTTTAAATTGGTGTAAAGCCTGTAAATTTGGGTTAGACGTTTAACGTATAATAATAAAAGTTATACAGTTCATCGAACAATTAAAATCCTTGAAATGGGGAATTGTTCTTCGTGTAGGTTACGAGCTATCTAAATACTTATTTATTGTATACACATTATGTGGACAAATATGATGATATATAATATTTTTAGAAAAATATTATTATCGTTCAACGATAAAATAACACTTACAATTAAACGATTATTTAGGATAAATAATTTATATGAGACTTGTAGTAATCATGATGATGAAATCGTGAGTATAAAAACGCAGAAATCTGACTCCGTAAAGATGTTATGATTCTTTGAAGTTTCGCATCTGACACAATACATTGTGTGTCATAAAATATGAAATAGAGATCGGTTGCTCGTAAGACAAAACAAGAGTAAATTACACGAATTGTCCCTATGGTTTAGGGTAATTTGCGTGTTTGGTCCCTAACTTATTTTTTAACTCGGAAGGTCCCTACTGTTTGTTTTTGTTACGCGATTGGTCCCTATCTTACCTTAAATGACTATTTTGCTCTTGATTTTTTAATTTATTTAAATAAACACACCCCAACCCCACTTCCCTCACCTTACCTTACATACCCCACAATTTTTTTCTATTTAAATAATAGTCTTTTTAGGTAAGACAGGGACCAAGTGTGTAACAAAAACAAACAGTATGGACCAAGCGCGTAACAGAAACAAACAATAGGGACCTTCCGAGTTAAAAAAATAAGGTAGGGACCAAGCGTGAAAATTACCCCAAACCATAAGGACGATTCGTGTAATTTACTCACAAAACAATATAAACGAGAGTTGAAATTCTCATAAATACGAACCCATCAACATATACATAATGTCGAGAACGGGGTTCTTATGAAAAATTTATGATTTTTAAAAAGAATATTTACACAGTAAATAACGTATAAATCATATATATATAGATATATATATATATATATATATATATAAATATATATATATATATATATATATATATATATATATATATATATATATATATATATATATATATATATATGATTAGGTTATTTTGTTTTTACTAACTATTGTGTGCCAGAATGCACAGATCTGGACCGATGGATGGAATTAATCAATGGACATAATTTGAGACTCTATGATATTACAATGGGATAACATTTACCATATAATCATACAAATTTTAGCAAAAGGGTATTTTGGACAATTAACTACATTTATAAAATAATATTTTCGGATTTTAAGGGATAAATAATTCTCCTGATTTTAAAAATATGAATTTTTTTAATTAATTCAATTTTAATTCTAACGTAATTTTTAAACATAACCGATTTTATTCTGTCAGAATATTTTTTTGTTAAAATGATTTTCTTTCAGAATTTATCCTATTAGAATATTATTGAAGAATAACAAAATTCTTGAATCCGAGGTTGAAAAATAACAACATTCTAATATACTCTTATACATCCGAACTTAAATACAAATTCATATATATTCTTATAGACTAAAAGTCTTATACATTTTAGTATAATTATACATATTATAACAGAATATCAACAAAAATGAATAAAATTCATAAAAAATAACAACATTCTTAAATTGTGAGTATGATCGAACTTTATTCATTCTTCAAGTTATTCCTATTAGGTCTTCAACACATTCTTCTAGCCATTCCTATAACAAATACAACAAAAACTAATAATGGTTAAAAACATGTTACTTTCAATTAACTATCACTTTATATATTCTGGTAGAATACATAAAATATGACAGAATACATAGAATACATTCTGGCAGAATACATATATTTTATTCTGGCAGAATACATAGAATACATTTAAAAGCATCGTATTTACTGCTAATATAATTTTAGATTCCAAATATACAATAACGAGGGACAATAGAAATTGGATTCAAAATCACAAATTGAAACAAAATAATGCACAAACAAATTAATTACCTTTTTAAACAATTACATCAAACATGTATTGCTAGTAATTCTGATAGAATGCATACCACAAGGTTAAATTCTTTAGATTCTCTTTCAGGCATTTCAACAAACACTTGTTAGGCATTATCATCAAACAAGCCAAAATTCATCGAAAACAATTAATGAAGTTAGAATAATAATGTGGGTGCTAGGTGTGTATCGACAAAGACCATGATCCTTATAAATAAACAGAGAAATCATAAAAAAAATGTTAAAAA